CGCCGTCCCCGTCACGTCATATAATGCAGCTGTAAAACGTGCGCGCTGTGCGATATGTTGTTAAATTCTTTCTCGCTAGGCCTCGGAATCGTCGGTTCGAGCAGAGTGTCGGAGAGAGGATCATCGCTCCCGTTAATGGGGATATCCCGTGAGGATACCGAAAGGAACACTTCCTGACCTCTTTGGGACTGACCTAATAGATTTACGGTTGATTTGGTCGTCTGAAGCCCGGAATTCGGGGTGGGAATATTGACCACGCTTTCCAGGGAAGATGCAGGTTTAGGAATCGAGTCGAACGGTTAGCACGATTGGGATGACACGATTGCTTCATTGAGAGGCGTGTTTTGCGTCTCCTTGACTAGCACGAGGAGGACAGATAAGCGCGTCGATTATTGGAGCCCAAATGCCGCCGACTGACCTCCAAAATGGTGGAGCAGGTGCTCCATTCGAGGATTCTGAGTTTTCCCCGAAGACGACGCTCGTTCATAATTCCTGTCGATGGTGCGGCGATACAGCGGAGAAGAGGGGACTCCTCGAATGAAAACAGCGCCCGATCTAGTCGAGACTCGCGGCACAATATTGGCCTCGATCGGCGTCACCCTCAAGACTGTCCACCGGCTGTAAACTCGGCTGGAGACAGAATATCGCGCCGTTTTATGCTTTGTTTGAGCTAGTGAGCCGTGAGTGAGTGAGTGACTTCCAAGCAACCCGACCGTTCACCCGACACTTAACTGAGCGACGAATGGCGCACAGATAAACTGCCTACCTTAGACGAGTGACAAGAATAATCATAATTGTAATATTGCTTACGGGCGCGGATCCACACCGCAGCCTCTGATCGAGTGGCAAGCGAGAAGGCGGCCAAGGGTTCACGAGCGGCGATTACAGCAGTCAGAGGTTTACGATTAGGAACTGGCCCTGCTCACTGTTTGCCGAATGGAATTGGATACAAACATGAATGTCATCGTCGGTCTGTGTTCGTTTGTTTGACTGACGACGTTGGCGGCGGCAGCGGCGGCGATGGTGAATAGGCGACATCGTGAACTAAGTGCCTCATGGACTGACTCGGAATCGGCAGCTCGAGACTCTAAGTGCCGCTGCCATCACCGCCTTTAACCAACAGCAATTTCGGCCAACTAGCTCCCATGCGTCCATTCAATAAGAGCTCCAGGTTGGCCAGCCCACCGATCGAGGATGGACGGTCTTACTCGGCGATGTATGTAGTAGGAGCATTCGGACGGGTTGGAGATGGCGGATGAAAGGCTTCCCCGATGTTCCTCCCTCGAGAGGGGTTACAGGATTCCGGGGAAGGGAAGGAGGATACGTGTGACCTTCCTGATTCTAGTCAGTTGCGATTTCTGAGCTCGGCGATCATCAGCTTGGAGCCGTTTTCGATTGAGTCCAGGACGAGCCGCGAGCGAAGAAAAAATTCCCGAGTTCTCCCGGAATACGCCCCGAATCCCCTAGAATCTCGGGTGGAATTCATGCAGTTGTCCGACGTATTCACTTCGGGCGTTCCACGACATACAGGTCTATTCTTCCTCGTTAGTTCCCGGCGCCTTCTGACGTTCATTCAGTTTGGATCGACCCACGGAACGTCCTCGGCGCTCGGTCAGGCTATGAGCGAACGGGTTGAGATTCCCTAATTCTTCATCGATTCCTCCGACCCATGCCGTAGTTGTCAGTCGCGAAGCGAGTTCTGGACAACCGGAAAAATAGGTGCAGATCCCGCTGGCACAAGCCTCAGCCTCGATGGTGTTCGAGCTTGTTCTTCGGCCGGAACCTTGGTCGACACGATCTGGCAACTTGATGAATTAACATTATCTTTTTGGGGAACAGCAAGACACGGAACAAAGAACAAGCGTTCGGCCGACAACGAAAATCGTAATGACGACGAACGAACGACCGACCGACCGACCGACAGGGAGAGCGGTACAGCAGGAGGGCCGTCGAACTTGGCAACACCATGAGCAACGATGGCAACACAACAGCGTCAACATCTCGAATGCCAGACTACGACGGCCATTAATGAACAAATTACACAGAGAACTCAGTTGTTCGAGTGGAGAAGGCGGACGAACAAGAAAGTGAGCGAGCGAATAAGCAAGGAATCCGCCAGGAAGCCGAGCAGGGCCGACCTGAGCCTGAGTGAGAGCAGACAGGGAATGGAGGCGGTACTCTCATCTGAGGTGACATCAGCTCCGTCAGTTCACGGAATGTTGACGAGACCCTCTCCGGATCTGGGTAGCTTCTCGTAGGTCCATGAATGAGATGGGGACCGCTTTCCGAGGGACCGTCCATCGTATACGGAGTCGATTTTCAGCCGCTAAGCTTTCTCCGGGACGTTATCGTGCGTTTTTTGTCGAATGTCCGATGTCTAGAATTCGGTTCTCTCTCAGTGTGTCAGATAGACAGGTTCGACAAACGCGGGTCCATCGGACCGAAATTAAGATTGATCTTCCTCCAGTGCACCGTCCCGGTGAACAATGTGCCCACCCATTGTTTGAGACGGAATAACATGAGCGAAATTATTGCAAAAGCCCTAAACCCTATTCTGACCAGGACTGAGTTTGGCCACAGTCCAAGAATCTCGCTCGTAGAGAACGACTGCTGTAGACGAAGACAGTCCTGCGGGCGCAGTGCTTGATGCTCTTCATCTAAACAAACAATTTGTACGAATGGAGAAGATGCATTCTAGAGGCGGGCGCCGTGTCATCCTGCAGAAAGGCCAAATAGAACAACCCAACCGTCGTTTCAGAGCTGTCTGGGAAAATAGGGCGAGGAGGAACACAAGGTTGCAGATAACGACTCGGTGCGCTAACCTTGCGGGTGATTCAACGCTCTGCAGTATGCGTTGTCACCTAATAAAGTCATCACCTCTTCGCGGGTCTGCACGAGAAACCGCTCCGAGCAGCTCCGAGACTCTGACTCGAATTCGATCTCTCCTTCCCAGAGATTTCTCCACTCTATCCCATCCCTCCCCCCCCCCCTCCCCGCGTCCCGGCCTGCGTCAGAGCTGTTTTCCAGATTCCGCGGATTGTCATTGTCTCTCAGGTAGCAAAGATTCCCCGCCAGATTGAGTCGCGATTGGTGTAAGCGGTCGATGACGGTGCTCGAAAAGCTTTTAATTGATCTAGATTGTCATCTAATGAGAGAAGAGACAGAGAGAATTTGATTTTTTATATGGTCGCTTGGTAGCGTTCATTCAAAATTAAAACTTCGTCAGCAATTAAGATTATTAAAAAAACGCTTCCCAACGAGAACTCGGCGAATAAACGGACAGACCGACGCATAGCTCGGCGCACCGTTTGACCCATCACCGACAGAGACTTATTCAGAGTACCCGACTACCAGGGCCCTGCTCTGAATTCCGTTACGAGCCCTTGGTAGAGTAAGATGCAGAGGACATAAAATAGAGGAGCGGTCGAGGCGAGCTCGAGTGATCGGCTACGACTTGAAACGATCGGGAATGAAATCCCCGATAGCCTGGTGATCCGAGAAGCCCATCTCGAAGCCCGGTGGGCTCGCTTCTGAGCCCTGAGACCACGGAATCGAATCTTCAGGCCTTACCTATCTTCGATCGTTCTGGACACCAGAGGAATCCGTGATGAGGGGGCTCGCGTGGTTGGGAAGAATTGGAACATCGCACTTCCTTCTCGACGCAGGACTCCGACGTATGGCTCCGGACCAAGTTCGAAAGTAGAAAAAGAGAACCTTGATCTCCGCAAAGTCGACCACCGCCGGCGACGCAACTTTCCCCGATGAGCTTCCGGGATTCACATCTTGAGTTCGTGAATCGGCTGCCCGAGGCACGGCTTAGACATCGGACAATTATTGTCGGAAAGAGCCGCGGGTTTTGACCCCAGGGGAAGTGCTCTGTAAGCTCAGCGCTTACGCTGATCTATTCAGCTCTCAATGAGAAGTCGTAGTCTCGTATTGCATCCCATATTGCTCATTTCTTAGTTTATTCGCGTCTCTATCCTGGATGCTCCGAAGAAGACACCCGAAAATTTCTAGTGAGGGTAATATTACAACTGATGAGCTACACTTCTCTTGCCTTCGCTCTCTTGTCGAAAGCTGTGAGACATGCTCCCGGAGGAGGCTCCCAAGACCGGACTCGTGACGATCTTCCTGCCCCTTTGCTAGGATCATGTCACCAATGGCATCGTTTGTACAAAAATTACACTCGGGAGGATCGAAACTTCGTCAATCGTATCGAAGATCCATCGGCCCTTCGATATTTTTCCGAATCCCCCCTTCTCAGCCCGTAGTACTCGTTCCTTCCCCCACCTATTCGGATAAACCTAGAGATATTTACATGCAACTCTTGAAGTAGGTATCTTATGTTCCAAAGAGATGTATCTTCTGGCTCCGGAGGAGTGCCTTCCTTCACTTTGGGTTCGATGTCGCCTATTTATCCCGTGGATGAGGTCCGATTCTCTGAGACACTCGCGTCCGCTATTCTGTCTGGTCCGTCTGCTTGATACTGTGTCATTGACGAGAATATAATATCTACAAAACCGATGCAGGACGAGAGATCATTTCGGAAATCATCAGCGAACCGACAGAGAGTGCTTCCCCTCATTGGAACTATCACATAAGACACGGGGACTACCGAGGATCATCGATATGTATGATACAAGACCAGTCTCCAGATCAGTCTCCTCAAGTTCAGTTCTGTTCCTTCGCGTTCCTCCGAGCGATGCCGCGTTCTACAGGATTAGAGAATCGACGACGGATCTTTTGATGGGCACAACCGAGATTTGAATCTGGGCGATGCTGTCGTAGTCGATGATGGTCGCATTGGAGCTCCTAATCGTAGTTCTGCTGCTGCTCCCGGTGGAGACGGTCGTCGCCGGGGAAGCGGGAGCGAGGCGGCTGCTCGTTCAATTAATCACTACTTTGGTTAACACTCAATAAAGTTGAACCAAGCTCCGGTCCTCTGCCGGAGCGAGCGGCCTTGATGAAAAAGTGGTCGGTAGCGACAACATTCCAGCCTCTCATCGAATCCAGTTCAGTGGTAGGGGCAAAGGTGGGAGCGATGGCATCGTGTTCCCTCCGATACTCGCTGCAGGGGATTTCCGGTCGGTGCCGATCAGGGCATCGATGCTGAAGTTAGCCGCCTTCAGTGGAGGTGACGAAGGCGTAGTTGTCGGCGAAACCGGCGCCGAAGGTGGAGATAGTTTCATCGCTGGCAGCGGCGCGAGGAAAGGTATTTGCGGGATCATCGGCGGCAATAAATGATAAGGCATCTGCATCGGAACCCCCGTCATCTGACCTGGACCGAAAGGGTGACGCAAAGCGTCGAGGAAAAACTGCTCTCGCATTATCATCTGTTGGTGATCCGGCTGCTGACGCTTGTAGCGTTTGCGGCGGCGCAGAAAGCTGCCGTTGTCGAACATGTCTTCACTGGCTGGATCGAGTGTCCAATAATTCCCTTTGCCGGGGTTCCCGGGCTCGCGAGGAATTTTTACGAAACAGTCGTTCAGCGAGAGATTGTGACGGATGGAGTTCTGCCACATCGGATATTTCTCCCGATAATACGGAAAACGGTTCTTGATGAAATCACAGATCCCACTGAGCGTGAGCTTACGACCGGGCGATTGCAAAATAGCCATTGTGATTAAAGCGATGTACGAGTACGGAGGTTTGACGAGGTGGGATTTGTCACGCTTTTTCTCGTTTCCGTCAGGATCTTTCTGGCCGGTCATGTCCTCATCTTCTTCGTCTGTCACTTGGATCGGTAGTTCTTCGTCGGACGAGTCGTCCAGATCGAACTTATTGTGATCCTCTGACGAGAAGGGACTCTGATTGAGGTGTTGAGCGAAGCTCAAGAGCTGGTTTGCGTTAAGGGGAAATTGAGTTGCCATCTCAGCAGCTTTCTCCATGTCCGTCTCGAGAAGCCGTGATTTCTGTCGAGGGTCCTGTTCGTCGCAGGTTGCGTATTCGGTGCACGAGGGGTTCCGTCGCAGTCAGAATGAACGGGAACGTGAGCCGCTACTTATGCGGTTCCGGGATCTTCAAGATCGAGCTGATTTTCGACGAGAGCGTTTAGCACTGAAGGGCGCGTCGACACGACATGAGTTGGTTCTCGGAACGATCGAGTTTCGAATTTTCTCCGACGCCCTGACTTCTTCCGGAGCGCACAATGTCAACAGTGACAACGATAACAGAAAAAACACTTAGAGTTAGACAAAGGAATTCACAGGGAGACACTCGTCCCGGAGCTCGGACAACGATTGAATGAAGCCGAAAAACTAGAGTGTTGAGAGCTAGGAGATCGAGATGGTGGTCGTGGACTCAAACTCCGCCTTTCGCCTCGACGGAGAGGCGAGGCGGCGCTAGCAGAGCGAAGAGAGAGAAACCACGCCCCCGAAATGTTAGCTCAAAATATTTGTCCTGTGGCTGGCCTGCCTGCCGGGCTGCTTCCCTACCCGCCGCCTCGTCCTGAACTCGGAGCATCATTGCAGCGGCTCGTAGTGGTCGGAGTCGCTATCGTCGTCCTCCCCTGGCTAGTGATAGCAGCAGCAGCCGCCGCCGCCACGATTGAAGGAAACTATGCGAAAGCTCCGCGGCTCCTGCATGAACGAAAATTGCTTTCCGGCTCGGCTGTGCGGAGCGAGTCGAGCAACCAGAGATTTTTGTACGAACGATTAGCAGAAACATCGACGAGAGTCTGCCATTGAACGGATCCGCTGCCGAAGGACCCGCTTACCTGCCTCACTGCTGCCATGACCGCTCGAATAGCTGCTATTTGTGGGACGGACTGGCTCGTTTGTTCGGTCCTTTGCTCAGTCGCCTACGGACTCCGCTGTTTATGCTCACACAGGGAGGGTCCTTGAGCTGAGTCTGTTGAATGTTTGCAGAGCTTTGCACAGATTAGCGAATTAGCGGACTTGCGAGCATGGGCGCTCGAAAACTCTCAGATTAATTCTGGACTCGCTTCGAATCCGTGCCCTCGGATCAGAGAGCCGAAGGATATGGACTCGAGGGAGACGAGCCCCGCAAAGGGTCGAAGCCTCCATGGGCTTTCCGAAAACGTCAGGAACTCCAGTGACGAGTTCCTGATGTCCACGGGGCTCCAGAGGATCTCTAATGAACATCCTGCCAGGAGCGTCCAGGCAAGCGAGACCGAGGCAGATATCGACCGGGGTGATACCCGAGGAACGATGATAGCGATAGTGTCGGTCTCCGGGAGGCGTCTCAGCTAACCGTGGCTCGTGACGTGACCGAAGATCAAGCCGATCACGGTTGATCGAGAACGCGACGGGAGACATCCAACGTAATGCAGGTCCCTGCGGAGGAATAGTCGGCTGGATTCGCTCGCTCAGCGGAAGCGATCGGAGCTCGATCCAACGCCAAGTCGCTCGACCCATAAACAGCCTGAGGCTTTTTCTACTTTTTCTCACATAACTCTTGCCACCGCAGATGGACTCCTCGCCGACTTCACTCCGCTATATACGTAGAGTAAGTATTGAAGCCTAAGCTTCCTCCACTGTTTGCAGCCCCAACATCACACTAATGCAATTATAGCAATTAGAAACGAGCCAAAGTGGGTGAAAGGATTCAGTGTGCGGAGCTCCGTGGGTAGGTGGGAGACGCGCCTCACAGCCAGCCTACTTCAGGGCCGAGTTTATCATTGTTCATCAAAGTGGCGCAGGAAAAGTTTGCAGAGCACGCGGCTGACTTCACAGCTTGCCAAGCTCAGTCTCTCATTCCTTCGGTGAATCGGAGATTTCCATTCGGAGCAAGGAAAATCACCGACATCACGAGAGGCATTGGGACTATCGGATGGTAGTCTTTACGCTTCAATAGATCGCGCATTATGCCAGAGCCCAAGCTCCTCTGCGACGCTCTCAGCGACGAATTCCACTTCAGGGTCGTTTGTCAGAAAGCCGGAGAGAGGAATGTCGGTACCTCGCTCGTCTCAACAGCATGGTAAGCCGAATTGAGCTGTTAGCCTCGAGGCGTGCACGCCAAGCGAAGTTTCGATTAACGCCTCGCGCCGTGTGAATCTCTCCAGCGAACGGCGTGACAGATTCCACTCTCCAGGTTTGAAACAAGAGCCAAACCGAGCGAAACTCTAGCGGGATCAGTGCCATGCAGGGAAGACACGCTTGTTAGCGCCACAACTCGATGACGTTCTGCGGGGATCGTCACGACCAACGCCTGACACAGAAATAAAACTTGACGGAGTCGGAGGCAGGATTGAGATGACGATCTCACTTCGTCTGAGGACAAAAGCCGCTCCCTCGGACACGGTCAGTGCTAGAGCCTAGCCTCGAGTGTCTTCCAAGAACCGGATCACCCATTCGAAGAGTCCCAATCCGAAACCCGTTCTCTTTGAGCGCTCAACCTACCCAAATGTAGATACTCTGCACAATTCCCTCACTGAACTTCCACACCCCGCTCATTTATTCCAGTAGGTTTCATTCCACCAAATATGCCTGGTGTAGTCTCGATGGAACCATCCGAATTCAAGGATCCAATCAGTCCTACGCTCGACCAAGGAGACACCACGTCAGGACTCCGAAGAGCCGGGCTCCGATGCGAGTGAGCTCTCTTTTTGAGCGAGTTTCACTCAGAGCGTCTTCGCATCTGGAATTCAGCTTCCGAACGAGTCTTTCTCCCGCTCATTGATCTCACAGGTATAACTCGGTGATGTTCGAGACAGAGCTCGATTAGGACATCCGTCCGATTTCATCCATACACGGACAGTTCGTTCGAAAATATTCCCGGCTCATTTCTCCCGTGCTCGGCATATGAAAGCGCTCCTCGAGAGCAAAAAATAGTCAGCGAACGATTTGAACGATTAGGAAGACATTTAAAACGCTTCGGTCTGCTCGCATAGAAATGTCATATGTCATTCCTGTACTCAAACGCGGCAGTCGAACGAGATTCTCTCTCGATCCCCGAGGCCAGGCAGAACTAGGCGGCGTGTCGGGTGAAAAATTGCTCTGCAGTGTTTCTCCAGGAGAGCGAGAACGCCGAGGAAAACCTGAAAAGAAATGGCTGTCGTTGAAAAAACAGCGTCGGAACGCGCTGCAAAACAATACATGGTTACCGGATTTAGCCTCCGAAGCTCTGAAACAGAAGTCACAGTCGATAGAGCAAATCAAAAGCTATAAATTCAGTCGACATTGGAAGCTTGCTAAGAGAATTTGGTACAAAGCATGCTCCATTGTCACATGGGGCCGTAACGAGTGAAAGACGAGTCCGAAATCAATCTGATCGAAGCCTCAGGGAGAGGAATCTCCATTAATAATTAGAATGTTCCAATGACCGCTTTGTGGAATGTCGGTTTTATTTTCTCCACCAGAGACGCTTACGAGGAGTCCATCCGGAGCGTCGTCCGCCAGCGCCGTGCTCCGCTGAGCGCCGGCAGAGGAGCAGGTGCCCGTTTATTATTTTTATATCTCCTCTCAGAGTGATGTACGTGCAGATTTTGCTCGTCCCTGTTCCAGACACTCCAGTAACCCAGTTTTATTTATTTTTTCGGAAGTAACGCTACAACGTATTCCGCTCAACGAGCTGACATTTTCCACTTCTGGACGCGTCCATGAACGAGTCGCGGCTCCTTTGTGGGATCAGTACAGGCGAGTACAACATGTGTTGATCGGGATTTATTGGTCGTTTTTATTGTTATTATGGAACAGTAAAAGGAATCGGATTATGGCTTTCCAGAGCGCAGCGTACCGTTGTGTTTTAAGGGATGAGAGGGATGATGAGATGGACGCAGAGGCCGCGGCTCGCCGGGCTCTGTGGATCTCTCGCAGCCACCTTCCTGACGACTATGAGCTGAATCAAGCATGAAAACGGTCTAGCCGCATGACAGCTTCCAGTCTCGAGTTAGCCAATTTTTGTGCGAGAGTATGTCGGAGCAAAAACTTCCAGCGCGACGACAGCAAACCTGAAGGGTTAGGCGACAGCCTCCGAAACGACTCGTGGGAGAATTTGACCCTCTGAGGGAATCGGCCTATGGCATTTGTCCTCCGACCAGAATAATCATTATACCTCCTAGATCAAGAATAAAAATAATACTTCTGCCTTATACCTCCTTGACCCATCGTAATTACTGTGCATTTTGTGTTATTCTGCAAGTCAACGAACCCTTCTGGGTTCTTTGAGCGCGGAAAGCGTGAACGATACGTTCTGGAGCTCCGTTCTTCATCGAGTCGAGGAACTCTCCTCGGCATTTTTAGCTGTTGGCATTGTCTCACCCCTCAGATACTCTCGTTTACGGGCCTGCACATGCTGTCTGAGCCCATTAGTTTCCCTTTGTTCTCATCGATACGATGGAGCTCGCTGGGCTCAAAGTTTTATCGGTACTTCGAGAATTATTGTTCTCCGATCAACCTAAACCCAATCGAAATCAAACCCAACGCACACTGTGAGGAGCGTGACGGGTGATCCGATCACCGAGCAGCGTATCACCCTCTCCAGAAGCCCCAATCCCGACAAACCTCATATTACGGACCCATATCGAGTATCGGGTCGCGCAAACCCAATTCCCGCTGATGACTGATAGGGATTCCTTTTTGGCGATATATGATCATTTGGATATAATACGATCATCCGATCGTTTTCACTGACTGATCTTTATGGCCGTGTCATACGAGATTGAGTGACTGCAGAAGTCAGTCTGTTTTTCCACGGAGCGACCGGATATGTAAATAAAAACGAAGGTGATAAAGTGAGTTCGCCGGCTGTGAGGAGTGAGATTGTTTCTTCTATCTGGATACTCCTCTAGTTGTCCATTTTTTTTATCACCTCCGAGCCCTGTGATGTTAGCCGATAGATTCCAATCGTTGCCTGTCCGTGTGCTTGTCCGTCGATCGCTCAATCGTTGATTGCCGTCGCGGCCGCCCCGTGGTCGATCGCGTTGACGACGCGGGTCATAGCTGGTTATAGCGGGTTGATGCTGACGATCTCGCTGGCGTTCGCTTGTTCATCCGTTCCCTGGTTGGAAGCTCGCGGAAGGCGGCTCGAGATCTCAAAGAAAAGCCATCAAATATCACCATGTGGTGAGAAAACAGGAGATTGTAGGCGGATCGGACAG